CTGAAGCTCAACATCAAAAAAAACTAAGATCATGGCCACTGGTCCCATCACCTGCTGGCAAAGAGAAGGGGAAGATATGGAGGCAGTGACAGATTTTACTTTCTTGGGCTCCATGATCACTTCAGATGGTGAGAGCAGCCACAAAATTAAAAAATGCCTGCTTCTTGGGAAGAAAGTAATGACAAACCTAGACAGCACCTTAAAAAGCAGAGCCATCACCTTGCCAACAGTGATGTATGGAAGTGAGAGCTGGACCATAAAGAAGGCTGACTGCCAAAGAAATGATCCTTTTGAATTGTGGTGCTGGAGGAGACTCTTGAGAGTCCCCTCGACTGCAAGGAGAACAAACCTATCAATTTTGAAGGAAATCAACCCTGAGTGCTCATTGGAAGGACAGAACCTGAAGCTGAGGCTCCAATACTTTGGCCATCTAATGAGAAGAGAAGACTCCTTGGAAAAGACCCTGCTGTTTTGAAAGTGTGTAGGCAAGAGGAGCAGGGGACGACAGAGGATGAGATGGATGGATAGTGTCATTGAAGCTACCAACATGAATTTGACCAAACTCCGGGAGGCAGTGGAAGACAGGAGGGCCTGGCGTGCTCTGGTCCATGGGGTCACGAAGAGTTGGACACGACTTCATGAATAAACAACAAAAATAATGAATGTAATAAAATTTCTTTATCATTTGGTGTAATGTGTCTATCCCACAAGCTGCCAATATTTTCTATTTTAAAGGTTTTCTCATAATTTTGAGGTCAGGATTATTTTATAGAGATAATTTTGCATGTCAAAAAGAATCGAAGTATTGCTTATGGGAAATCAAATGCCAGCCCACTCTGTCTGATAAAACTTTAATAGAGAGAATGTCTTTTATAGCTAGATGGACATAACTTAAAGCAGTCTAGGCAAAAAGCAGCATTGATACTATAACTGCCCATGAAAGATTGGTTAGATCAGGGTGTGTTTACCAGTTACTCATATGTGCCAAAAGTTATGCCTTTTGATACAGATTTAGAGCTCGAAAATTGAATCCACTGTCGAACACCCTCCCCCCCCCAAACCTGACAATTTCCTGTGCAGGACAATAGGCGAAAAGGGGGGGAAGTTGAGGGTGGGATGAGACCATGTTCTCATTTTTGTGGGAAGCTGGGAAATCTTGCTGGTGCAAGAGGAAGTCTCAATGGACCTGAAAAACCAACCCTTCAGTAACTACCTCACTTAGTATTCACTGCACTTTGGATCAGAGTTGCCGTCTTTTTTTCTGGCAAGGTTTCAAACACTAACAGATACGACAAAAATAAACTCAGTAGGCAAAACCCTTGCCTCAAAACAAAGTATTTGCATAATTGAGAAACTCTGACAATTTGAGCCAGCACTTCAAGTGCAGGCATTCTTTATCTCCTTTTCTAGTTTAAACTAGAAAATTGCTCTTACATATTTTATGTTGCACACAGTCTTATTTTTCTAATGAAGCACTGAACAGTTCACAGCTCATTTATGAACTATGGGGAGGGGCAAGGACACAATTGCTACAGGTGCAGGCCCATTTTCTGGTGTGTCAATGCTGCATTCTCTGATGTCCTAATCAGAATGATAAAATGAATCAGAATCCACTCTATCCACCTCCTTTGGATATTCTCGAAATTGCTGTGGGGAGTATCTAGTATTGTGTTTATAAGCAAAGTACTGTTACTCACTTTCTGCATTATTGATGGCTTTAAAACCTCTAAATGCACACTTCTATAAATGTCAGAGGAAGGTGTATTATCCCTACATCATCTTCCATCATCTCTTTATGGGAAGGATTTCCAGACTGGGAGAGACAGAGACAAGTGAAGATGATGTCAAAGTCTGCTTTGCCTGTACATATATCCATTGCCCCCACATGGCAATCTACCATCCGCTGCCATTCAGGAAGGAATTCCAGAAGCAAGAGAGGGATGGAGGCAAGCAGGTGATGAAAACATCAGACATTTATTCCTGTTCAAACTCTCCTCTCTTTTTCCAAAGGCCATCAGCTGCCTTGTTGGAAAGATTCTGGCGAATGTATTCATAAAGGCTTTCACGGCCAGGATTTAATCGTTGTTGTGGGTCTTTCAGAGGAGTGCTGTCCTCTGAAGATGCCGCCCAAAGAGACTGGCGAAACGTTAGGAAGAACAACCTTCAGAACACGGCCAAAGAGCCCGAAAAACCCACAACAACCATTCTGGCGAATGTTTTGCTTATGCACAGTGAAGACATTCATGAGTCAAAGCTCACTTGGGCTACATACTCACCAGCTGACCTTGGGACCTCTGCCTTAAATAGCTTTAAAGCTTACTTTTAAAAACTGTTGTAAATATTAGGAGAAGAATGTATACACACAACATTTCAAACTCTGAAAGATGACAGATTCTGTTCTACCCAATACTTTTTGTTTAGCATCCTTAGCCAGATTTAATATGTTGCCTGCAAATCTCTTGAAGGGAGGTTTCAGAGCGTACCCTATTCTGATTGTCTATGTCCTTGAGATGGTGGTGAAGTAGAAGCAGTGGGGCATGCTCTCTTATACTGTCAATTCTATTGAGATCTCCGCAAAGATTTTCTCTCCCCTATTTTTAGAAAGTTTCCAGGGAGATCTGACAAATTCTATATTCTTTTGCTGCTCTCTGTAAGGTTTCTTTCATTTCTAGTAAAGTGGCCAAATATTGCGCTGCCGCGATAGCTTGCCACAATCTCCTGACCACACAAGGTCTTCGTGTGCCCCCACGAGATGTCTTGTTTAACTTACTTTCTAGGAGAGTTAAGGTGGCATTTTGATGGTTAAATGTGTCTCCTAATCTCATCCTATATCATGTGTCTGCTGTGATGTTTTAAAAGCTTTCATGTCTTTCAATGCCGCTGGCTAACTTGGAACTTCTTTTTAACTTTAATGTCATAAAAGAGCCAGATGGTACATATTATTATTGTTGTTTATCATATTTTTCTTCCCATTAGCACACACCATAGCTAATGATATTCTAAATACATTATTTTGGATAATATACTGAAATGTCTGTCTTTGATGGAAAAAATATGCCAACAATCTTCAGAAAAGTAGTTATTGGTCCATACTAATGAAAACAACAACATCTTGTGGCACCTTTAAAAGTGAATAGCTTTGTCATGTGGCAGAATCTTCTAGTAAGTTAGAGCCTGCTTTCTCAGAGGATGACACATCAGTGGCAGATGTGCAAAAGAGTTTTCAAGGTGTTGATTAGTTTTGGCACAATTATTTGCAATGTACAGGAGCTTTTCAGTTTTTCCACAGCCATCACAGAAAGCAGCACATTTTGCCTTTCATGAGCCTTTTATGAGCTAATGAATAGCAGGCTAGGTTTTCATTTCCCCTTCATTACAGAGTTTTCAACTTTCGCACCAGTGGCAGTATAGCAGCAGGTGACAACATCTAGCCCCATGCCATAGAATTTCACTTGCTAGCTTTTGCTTATTTGTGGAAGGCACATACTGTAGAGTGACCACCCCCACCCCATCTCTGGCCAACAGGCAACCCTACCAATACAATAGCCTTTTCCTGATAGCTTGACAAGAGATCATCTGACCCATATAGTCTGAACTGATAACTTTTCAAATGTGCTCATTATTATAGAGTAAAAAATAAGCAACAAAAATGGCAAGAACCTTCCTCCCCCCCATGCGGAATCTCATGCATGGGTGCTTAACCCACAAGCTGGTTCCTACCTGGCTAAATGAAATCAAGATCTTTGGTAAGCCATTTAACTTAACAAACTCACACCACCCTCTTTTGAAATATTTATAGTACGTCATTTTTGGTCAGCAGTGTAGAGAAAGATTACTGATGCTCAAATTATAGATAAACATATAAATAAAGAAGCAACTCACCCACTAGTTCCTGGTCTCTGTGCCTGAGAAAAACGCCAGTCTGTGTTAGGTTGTGCTTGCTGCAAGAGAAACACAAAAGGAGGGGGACATTAATGCTTTTATCTCCATATTAAGAGACATTTGATTCCCTACCACTGCAGGATGAAGATACACACTTCTGTAGTACAGACGTACAGTGCTAAAGTGGGCAATGGGATGTGGGTAACCATGTAAGCTCCACCCCAAAATATTCCTGTCCCTTGAGCTTAGTACATTGAATGTGAAGGTCTGAAAAGAGTTCTGTGAATAATTTTGATGCTCATGCCTCCCCTCCACACATTTGCTTCATGTGTGAGAAGGCTAAACAATCGTACAATTGTTGTGAGCCGCCCAGGGACCTTTGGGTAGAGTGGGCGGCATATAAATTAAATAAATAAATAAATAAATAAATAAACAGACAAACCAGGAACATTAAATGTAAAATGTTCAATAACAGGTCTTTACTCAGATTTAACTACAAAATACACACACAGGCAGAGTACATTTTGACCTGTTCTAAACTACTTTCAAATAAGAATGATAGATGATGAGAAATTTCTCTAATCTTCCAAAGATAAAGACACCCAGAAACTATTCCATGAAATAAATGAAGCATGAAATAAGCTTGGAGGGGCATCATTTAAACCACAGAACACCAGAACATCAGGAATAATTAGTGGGTGAGGGGGCAGAATTAATTGGTACTGAGAGATATACTTTGCTGCCAACATCAGAAATGCTAATAGAATTTCCTAAATTTGTAATCTTTTCTTAAACAAGCCTACACAGGACTTTGCTTTAATGTCTTCAGCGTCCTTTCATCTTTTGCTAGATACATGTTTTTGGAGCTCTGTGATCCTTCATTGCCCACCGAGATTGAAATTTCCATTTCTTGCAACAACAATTATTTCTTCTGAAGACACAGCAGAAGACCCACAGTAGTACTATATCAGACCACGTTGAGCCATGTATTACATTCCACTCATGCTGCTGCATTACTACAACAGACATATTTTAAAGAAAGAAATGCATGAACTCCCATTACAAATTATGTGCCTGAATGGCTCTTTGTGAACACAGGTGAGACACAGGCCAGTCTTGATATGTCATACAAACACCAACTATTCTAGCAATCTCTTTTATTAATTCTGTCTTAATGACAATGGCATGGCATACATGCCAACCATTTTTTTTAAATGCCTGCTACCTTCAAACTGAAGTAATAAATAAGATCTTTAAAATCAGGGAATAAAGGTATAATTTGCATCCCATTAAGTGGCAGACTATCATTGAGTTCAACGAATCTGGATACTATGAGTTAATTCTGGAAACAAAGAAGTAAGGCAAAGCTTCTCTCATAGGGCAGTGTCTATGCAAAATAATAACATACGTTCTATTTGTTTATTATGAATACACACATACAGCTCTGCTGTCTAAATTTCCACACACACTTCCTACACTTTAGGAAGACCTATAGTTAGCTATCGTACAGTTACTTCGTCAATTGTTTCTACAGTTTGGTGAGACAGAGGCTACTATAATCACATTTTGGTTCCTAAATTTAAACAACTGAACATAGGCATTCATTTAAATGTATTTTGAGTACCCACAACTGTCATTTACTTTAAAATAAAAGTTTAGAAAATAGCACCTGTTAATTTAGTTTTTGAAATGGAATTAAAGCCCTGCCTATAAATCTCAAAAAATAGGATCATGCTAAAGAAAATAGATATATAATAAGGATTGCAAAACATCACATCACAAATTATAGCATTCATTTCCATGCCTGTCTTCATACTGCTATTCAAATTATAGAACAAAAATGAAAAAACACTTTTACATATTCACTCTAGATCCTTAAACATTGCTATGTAAATCATGTTCTACTTGGTCCCCCCTCCCTTAAATAAGCTGAGTCTGCCCTCTTCAATAAGAGTCCACTGCTTTATAGCTCGTGGGTTAACTCAATAGGACACTTTCATTCCAAAATATACAATACCATTCATGCTTTGACTCTTGCTATTCCTACGCAAAGGACATGATCCAAGCTGAGATCTTTTAAGCCCCTGATCATTTCACTGGAATTGGCACAAGAGAACTTCCCAGTCAATTGTGACCATTGTCTCAAATTAGACCATTCTTGTGGGATTTGAAAGAGCTACTGTAATGCCCTAGAATTGCATATTTATTCATCTTATCCGCTTGAAGCTGTATAGACTGGTTTTTGGCAATGTTCTCAAAGCAACATAACATTAAAATCACAATTCCCTTTAAACAGAAAAATAACAAGATCTTCATAATTACTGTCTAAGGAAAATCAAATCACGAGTTCTCATGGCCATTCTACAGATGCTACTCTCAGGGTGTTTGAACCCAGCCTTTTGAACTCCTGTGGCACACAATGTTGTGTTCTTTTGCCAAATGACAAACGAGTTTATTACCGTGGACTGGTGGTAAATCTGGATAATGTTAACAGTTACACAAAAAACTAATAATGACAGAAAGGCGAGAAGAGCACTTCTTTATAAGGTTAGCAGCTCTCATGCTTTGACCTGCTGTCCCTTTGACCTTTAGAATTCACAGCCCTTTCTGCTAAAGGATGCATTAGGTGCAATATGTGTGAACAGATGTGCTTCTAAGTATCTCGAACAGCAAACAAAGAAACATCTAGGCACTGCCACTTCACTTTCCCCCTTTGAATTCAGCTCAAAATCCACCCCTTTCACAACACCTTTATTTAATCCTCTAGCTCTCCTCCCTAGCTGAAATGCAGCCTGAATTCTTCTATCCCAAATGTTTGCTGTATATGCAGAAATTAAGGTCTGAATAGAACATTTGCATTTGCTCCGATTCATTCCTTTTTCTTCTCCCTTCCCATTCCCTGCCTAAAGGTAGTCTGTGAGCTTCTTAGGAAAGAGATCCAGATTCTGCATTGACCATTTTGTACAATGTTATAATAATAAATTAACAATTTATACTGAGCAGGGTTTTTTTTTCAAACCAGAAAAGAAAATCAGCTATCCAGGCAGGTCCATGTGTACATTTAACGATTTACCCCAAACACTGCAGTTATTGGAAATCCAGTTAATCAAGTGGAAATTTGCCATCACCTCCCTTCCCCGTTAAACACAGAAGACTTTGAAGATGAAAAGCAGCTTAACTGAGAGTGGTGTTGAAGCAAACGACAGCCATATTATGCACCTTGTAAAAATCAGCACATTTTCCATGTAGGCAGTCCAGAATCCACCCTGCCACCCCAACAAGGGTGACCTATTCCCTCATTGCACCTAGCAGATGGACACCCACGACAAAGTGTGTGTTAAATATAGACTGCAAACAGAAACTTTTGAGGCAACATTTTGGTTTATCTTACCCCATCAGAGGGACTCTGCAAAACACTGCCTGCCTGCTCAAAGGCAAGAATGCTTTCTGCCGTAGTAGAATGACTGAAAGGTTTAACAAAAAAGAACTCTCCCTGTTCAGACATTGGAGAGAGACAAGACTTGTAGTGCTGAGCTCCAGCTCCACCCACTTCAAGGTATCTGATAAAGCCTTCCGGGTGTGGGTGCCCAGTGAAATTTATGGTAGATTTCCGGTCTGTCCTCCTACTACAGCAACGTGATATGAACCAGCTGGGGACACAGAAACCAGATTTGAAGCACCTGGCGCCTACAACAATCATCATTACACAAGATACCAGAGAGATGGCCACAAGAGAGATGATAAGATAAAGGGTTAAGTTGGGGGCTCTGGAAGGCGACTTAGGTAGAAGATCCAAGGACTTGGAAAAGTCCTGCACAGCATTATCCTCTGAGGAGATCACGAGAACCAATGAGGCTGAGAGAGATGGCACCCCGTTGTCTCTCACCTCCACCACCAACCTGTGAGACACCCCAGGCTCCCTTAATGCCCGAGTAACCCGGATCTCTCCTGAGTGGCGTTCCACTTTGAAAGGAATGGCCTCATTTGTTTCCTGAAGCAAACTGTATGAAAGCCAAGCATTATGGCCACTGTCAGCATCCACAGCCACCACTTTAGTCACCAAGTGTCCGGGTTCCACTGGAAGCAGAACTGGCTGGTGAAAGGCAGAGCCCTTGAGAATCTGTGGGTGGACAATCACAGGGGCATTGTCATTCTGATCCACTATGAACATGTGAAGAGTGGCTGTGCTGCTCAGGGGTGGGAAACCCGAATCCTTCACCTCCACTGCAACTTGAAATACTTTTTCTTGTTCATAATCAAGAACTCTGGATGTATATATACTGCCATTCTCTTGGTTGATATGAAAATAGGTTGAGATAGGCAAACCATGGTTCCCGTTGTCCACAATGGAATAAGACAGCTTTGAGTTGACACCCACATCAGGGTCAGAAGCTGAAAGGGAAAAAACCAGTGTCCCTGGAGAAATATTTTCCTCCACGTGGGCTGTGTACGAAGGAATGGAGAAGGTGGGTGCATTGTCATTGACGTCTGAGACTTGTATAAAGATGTTTTTCTGCGTGGATTTTTGAGGCACTCCAGAATCTGTTGCTTTAATTGTGATGTTATATCCTGCAGCCTTCTCTCGATCCAAGGGGCCATTGGTTACTAGTGAATAATGCTCTTTAAAGGAAGACACTAGCTTAAAGGGCACGTGTCTTGTAATCTCCAAGTGGACTTGCCCATTTTCCTCAGAGTCATTGTCCTTTGCCTGGATGAGTGCAATGACTGTACCAGGGGGGGCATCCTCTTGCACTGGGCTGGAGAGAGAGGTCAGCATTATCTCTGGGCTGTTGTCATTGACATCAATAAGTTCGACTCTGATGTTGCAGTGGCCCTCCATGGCAGGGGATCCCTTGTCTTTAATGTAGATGGCTAGCTCATACGCACTGGCTTCTTCATAATCCAGCAAAGCTTTGGTCCTGATCTCCCCTGTTTGGGGGTCTAAGCTAAATAAGTCGAGGAGTTTTAGAGGCGCGCTCTTGCTTGATGTGAAGAAATATTCAACCTCTCCGTTGGGTCCTTCATCTAAGTCAGTAACGTTGAGCTTTGTTACAACAGT